TTTCTCCTGAATTTAAAAAAATTCATCCTGTAACTGGCTCTTGTAGACCAGGCTGGTCTCAAACTCACAGAGATCTGCCTGCCTCTGCCTCTTAAGTGCTGGAATTAAAGGTGTGCGCCTCCATTGACCAGCCTATTTTTATAAATTCTTTATTTATCACTCATACCTGTATTGTTTTACTTATTTCCTTCAGTTGTCTATCTTTTTTAAGTTGTAGCCATTTTAAAGTCAACTTCTTGAATGATTTCTTCAGCACTTTACCTAATTAAGTATGTTTAGATTTAGTTGCTGACATATTATGTTCTTTGGGGAAAGTTTTGTTTTACCACATTCCTGTGTTTCGTTGTTGTGGTTTGTGCACCTGTGGGAGCAAATGTTTTACACAATGATGTGATGTTCTGTATGTTAAACTTCCTTCTACAGAGGGCTTAATCCCCAGCCCTGGCCAGAGTGCAGAAAATAAACCATAGTAACAATACCAGAGCCAGCTTCCCACAATAATCATAATGGGCATAAGGAAAGGATGGAGAGGAGGTGGTGGTGCACACTTTTAATCCCAGCGCTTTGGAGGCAGAGGCAGGTGGATCTCTGAGATCAAGGCCAGCCTGGTCTACAGAGTGAGCTCCAGGACAGCCAGTGTACACAGAGAAATCCTTTCTCAAAAAACCCCAAAATATGTAGCAAGAAAGGTTAGAAAAAAGAAAAGGAGAGGAAGAGGAAAAGAGCAGGAGATCAAAAACAATGTAGTTACAAAGTTTAAAAATAGTAAACAAAATAGATAAACCACAGACCTACCATCCTGACACTTGGAATGTGAGGTAGGAAGATAACAAATTTGTGGCTAATCTGAACCAGACAAGGAAACCCTGCCTCATAGTCCATAACACCAAGATGAAGTAAACACAAGACAAGGATTTGTTAAAGATTAAAAACTTGTTTAAATCTTTTAAAAGTCCTATATGAAAATTACACATAACATTTTAGTATCTGGAAGACAGAGACTTGGAAGAGCCTGTCTCCTATTGTTCTCCTAGAATTTGCCAGGTCTGGGGGCATTAGGGTCGTATTGGGTGTATTGTCCCACTCTGCTGCCACCTTCTAGGTTGGTGCTCTACAGTACACAGGTGCTGTTAGTTAATGTGGGAAATTACCAATACAGAGCCAGGTAGAAATACAAGGGATTGTACTAGGGAAATAAGCCTATTTTCTTTTTTTCTAACCTTTCTTGCTACATATTTTGGGGTTTTTTGAGAAAGGATTTCTCTGTGTACACTGGCTGTCCTGGAGCTCACTCTGTAGACCAGGCTGGCCTTGATCTCAGAGATCCACCTGCCTCTGCCTCCAAAGTGCTGGGATTAAAAGTGTGCATCACCACCTATTTACAGAGCGACCTAGCCAGCCGGTGGGCAGCAGTCGGTACAGCAAGCTGAAAGTGAAACTGAAACCAGCCAACTGACTGCCCCTCACTCTATGTCACCCTGACCATGCCACCATGCCCTCGGAGGCATGGTCAGGCACACCTGTAACCAGCCCCTAAGCAGGCATGGCTACAGCATCCCCTACAATTCCCCCTTTAGTTTAAAAGAGGATTAAAACTTAACAGTGCAAAGTATCCAAAATTAACAATCATAAAGGTGAAATATAAGAAGATACAACAATCTGCTTATGTTACCTCCTAACTATTTTAACTAAACCCTAAAATCATCTGAAAGAGGTGTCCAAGCCTGAACACCTCCTTCCAATCCCAACCATAAACAATAGGAAGCTATCTCTAACTAGGTATATACACTATCCTAAATGACAACAATGGGGAAAGGGGGCATAGCATCCTCCAAGTTACTTCCTGCTGAAATGGGATGATGACAGCCTTGTGGGGTCCTGTAGGAAGAAAATGTTAGTGTAGTGAAAGTCATGAATGGATTGTATCCAGTCCATGTTAGATGGGATTCGCTTGATTGAAGATCTTACTTGAAATCCTCAACATGATTGAAGTCAGTATCCGAAGCTCTGGCCCGAGTGTCAGTTGAAATGGAGCAAGTTGGATCCAGTGCAGTTGAGGAGGTGTGGCATATTTTCTTTCCGGGGTGTCCAGGGATTGCTGTCAGGCAGGTCTTCATTGACTGTGTGGGACTCAAACATAAACAGAGAAATGTTTGCTTGTGTATGTACACATACTGGTAACAGCAACCATGGGAGAATAACGATTACAAGAGTGTGTACACCTTGAAAGAAAGAGCTAAGAAAAGACAAAGACAGTCCCCAAATTCTTCTCTTATTCTGTATTACATCTATTGGCTTCTTGATACAATACAGAAACTCTGAAGTTTAGTTAAATAACGTGCTTGGATTTTAGAGGAGAGCCAAATCCACCTCTAAATCCAGCATTGGTTTAATTGAATAGGGACTAGAAAAATAAAGAGAAATAGAGTTCTCTGAGAGACAGCTGTAAAGTTTACCATATGGCACGTTCCTTTTGTTTGATGGTTTATAGCTACCTTCTCTTAAGGATCTCCTAGTCTAGTTTTCCATTTACCTCTTTATAACACTATACTCTTATTTCCCCTTCCTTGAAAGATTCTCTCATCACCCCTGGTCCTTTGCTAGCTGCTTAATGTCTATTGTTATTCACATTGAAGCACACATGTCTAAAGCTTAAAAGCTAACATCCACATATAAAATAAAGCATGCACTTTTTGTATTCTGATGATTCAAGTCTCTTTATTCAAGAAAATACCAGGGGCAAAATGCAGGCCAGAGCGAGGTTACAGAAACCCAGCAAGTGCAACCAGAAAAGGGGCTCGGGTCTCCATGAGCCGTCTTACAAAGCTTCCCTTACCTCACCTTCGCTTTCCTACACCATGCCCTTATGGGCGAGTCCCGGGTCCACCTGTTACCTGTCCCAGGGCAGGGCTAGGGTGTCTCCCTACAGTCTTCTGTTGTTTGGTTAACTCTGTCAGAATAATGGCTGTAACATGCATTAATTTACCTTTAAATTCATTTTTCTTAACATCTGAATTCATTGTGTAAATGTACCACAGTTTCAGTATCTCTTTACCAGTTGATGGAAATAGCTGCTGTTTTCAACTAAAGGTGTTATGAATAGAGAAGCAGAGAGCATGATGCATGAGCAAGTATCTCTGAAGTAATACGCAGTGCTCTTTGGGTCCATAACCAAGAGTATTCTAGCTGGATCTTACAGAAGATCATTTTTCAGAGTTTTGATAGGGCTGCTGGAACTGGAAGATGCATAATGTCTTGATTGGTCATATTTGTGTTTTCTGCACTAGGATCTAGGCATCTAGAATTATGATCTATTTTTGGTTGCTAGGAACTCTTCTCACTCTCTTGACTCGAACTTGTGATGGGGGAAGTCCTGCTGTATATATGTTTCTCCTATTTGTTGATGAATAAAACACTGTTGGCCAATAAGGCAGGAAGATAGGCGCGACTATGAGAATAGAATTCTGGGAAGTATAGGCAGACAGGAGTTGCCAAGTAGCCAGCAATGAAGTAGCAGATCCAGGCGTTCTTTGGTGAGCCACTAACATGTGGAAATACATAGATTAATAGACACTGATTAATAATTAAGACAGAGGTAGACCATAAGAAGCCAACAGAATTATAACTAAAAAGCATCCGTGTGTTTATTTGAGGCTAAAGGGCAGCGGAACCCAGATGGGCCAGAACACTCATGCTACACTATTGGATGGAGATAGGCTTGGTGTGTGTGGTGGCTCATGTGGACAGGCTGCAGCAGGACTGAGGGTAAGTCTAGAGAGACCAGAATGGAGAACAGGATGGAGGCTGAAGGTCGCCTACCTGAGTACTAGCCTAGTATGGCAGCTTAGAAGTATCTTGGGAACCAGCAGCTCTAGGAGTGGGCAATTATTCCAAGAGGTAGTTTCTACAAATGCTGATGTGCAAGGCAGGGCCTCAACATCTGTGTCTCTGCAATTTTCCTCAGGAGAGCTGCTTGCAAAATTATGAACCACTGAGTTAACCCCGAAAACACTAGAGCACCCCTGAAAAGTCATAAGAGCCATTTTGTAACACAAGAACCTGTCTTTTTAGTGCAGCTTAGATAGCCAAAGGCCCCTATCATGATTCCTGAGCCATAACATCACCACAGAGATGTATCCACCTGTCCTGGCTGGTTTTATGACAAATTGACACAAGCTAGACTCATTAGAGAGAAAGGAGCCTTAGTTGTGGAAATTCCTTCATAAACTCCGGCTGTATGGTGTTTTCTAATTAATGATCAGTGGGAATGGCCAGGAACCCTTGGATGATGATCCTGGCTTCTATCAGGAAGAGACTGAACAGACTATGAAGATCAAGCCAATAATCATGACCCCTCCATGGCCTCTGCATCAGCTCCTGCCCCCAGGTTTCAGCCCTGTTTGAGTTTCCATCCTGACTTCTTTCAGTGATGAACAGTGATGTAGAAGTGCAAGCCAATTAAACCATTTCCTCCCCAACTTGCTTTTAGGTCACGGTGTTTCATCACATCAATATACTCTAACAAGACACCATCCATAAATCTTATTTAATGAGCTCATCAAAGATGTTTTTATGCTCACTTATTATGTGGTTTTTAAAAAAGATTTATTATGTATACAATGTTCTGTCTGCATGTGTCCCTGCAGGCCAGAAGAGGGCACCAGACCTCATTAGAGATGGTCGTGAGTCATCATGTGGTTGCTGGGAAGTGAACTCGGGACTTGTGGAAGAGCAGCCAGTGCTCTTAACCTCTGAGCCATCTCTCCAACCCCCTATGTGGGGTTTTTTGTTTTGTTTGCTTTTCTTTTCTTTTTTTGTTTTGAGGTAGTCTTTTCTAGCCCATGGTAGCCTCAAACATACTATCTAGCTGAGGTTGACCTTAAACTCCTGTCTTCCTCCTCCCAAGTGATGACAGCAAGCATGGACCACAACAAGATCATTGATTTTTTTTTTATTCTTAGAAGTAAGATAGTTTTTATAACATGGTTTAGAACCAGGCTTTTAAAACAGAATTGGTACATTTCTTATGGAGCAGATAATGGCTGGTGTAGGATTTATTGGTTATTACATTTGGAGGATGATACTTATGTTTTTACTGTAAAAGTGAACAAATTGATACAAATGATCTTAGGAATATAAGATTTTCTGGGACAAGTTATCCTTTTCCAGGTCATACAATTTGATTCATTGCCTCTAATGATTATTATCAATGAAATGAACTAACATACAATACTCAATAACATTAATTTGAGCCTAAGATTCTTTTACTTATAATTTAATGTGTTGTGTTTGTAAACTTTAAAAGAAATAGTCATTGATGAATTAAGGTATAATAGAAAACATATATAAAAATGTTAGTTAGATGATTTACACTAAAGTTCCTTCTTATATTTATAATAATGTTTTTAAAAACTGAAAACTCAATATATGTATATAATGCATTTCAGCCATTCTCACTCCCTCCCACTTTCCTATCTCCTTTACAACCCCTTCAAATGCCCCTCTTTATGAGTCCTTTCTCACATTCGTATCTGGGTATTACCTTGTGATCCACCAAATTTAAGCAGAGCTGTCTGTGGAACCCTGGGCTTTAGACTATCCACTGGAGCCTAGCTGGCTCTCCTCTGAGTGTCAGTGTAAAATCAGTGATTGCCTGTCTTCCATAATCTACCAGTATCAATAGTTTAGCAGAAGGGAGTATGGTCCCATTGAGTCCCTCTCCAACCATTGCTGTGCTGATGAGAGACCCTGTCATGTGCAGGTAGCTGTAGGTGTTATGAGACAGACCATGGTTGAAAATGGATTGTGTGCCATATCCATATTTCCAGCTCTTCTTCTCCTTTCCTGGGTCCTGTATCTCTACACGCCTCTTCCACAGCTGTAAGCTTTAGGAGGGTGTGGCATAGGTATCCTGTTTAGGGTGAAACACTCAAGTGTCACTTACTCTGGTACCTTGAGCAGCCACAAGTCTCTGCACTCATCACAGTTCATTACAGTAGGAATCTCATCTGGGTGATGCTGGCTGTAGTATTTGTCCATGAATATAAGTATAGGTAGTTAGAATAGTTTGGAATCACATCTCTTTAAACAACTGTTGAAACTTCCTCCAGCCAGACTTAAGAACTTCTACTTTCTTCTGTGCTAATAACCGAACATAGGTAATGGATAAGAGGATAATCATTATACAAGCTAAGGCCACATGATTCTGCCAGAAGCCCCAGGGTGAGAGGTCAATGCCCAGGATCATCAAGAATTCTTCACCAGTGCATCTGTAATTCAACACAAGCAAAAATAATGTCAAAGCTCATTCAGCAATTCACTTCCTTCTAAAAACTCATTAGATGTTTCAACACATCATTAAGAAATTTCTTCTTAATAGAGGAGAGAGAGCAGGATGAGAGATACCATATCAGAGGGAGCCACTATAGGTCCGAGAAGAGATCTGGAACTAGAAAGATCTCCAGAGACCTACAAGGATGACACGATCTGACAGTCCGGGCAGTGGAGGAGAGGATGGTCCAGAAGCCCTTCCCCTAGAATGAGAGTGATGACTACTCTGTATGCTATCCTAGAGTCCTCATCCAGTGGCTGATGGAAGCAGAGACAGACATCCACAGAAATACACTGAGCTGAAATCTGGAACCTAGTTGAGGAGAGGGAGAAATGAAGAACGAAGGGGTCTGTACCAGGTTGGAGAAACCCACATAAACAGTTGGCCTGAAAAAGGGAAAGCATATGGCCCCCAGACGCTCTTGGGGAGGCCAGTACGGGACTAATCC